ATATTATATCTTAGTGGAGCTCACCTATTCTGCGACTCCACTCGGCTCCAGGGTTACGCAAAACTAAAAATACCCAGGTCCTAATTCTTAAGGGATAACTGAATTAGGGATTCAAGGTCCAATAACCTCCCGCAATGCGATAATGTCAACTTGCCACCCCAATAGCCAATGCTTACCAATGAGATACTTCCTCGATTGGGGGTTCACATTTACGGCTAGGTGCACCTTCAACCATTCTTTACACGCACAGACGCCCCTTATCAGATTACAAAGTGATTCCTAGAAAATCATATCACCGCATTATGTTTATTTTGTAGTGTGTGTATCATATTACGCCCCATTTGGAGTGTGAATGTTACATCACACCCCACTTAAGGAGTGTGACTCCATATTTTCCCCTTGGAGTGCGATTATCACATACACCCATTCAAAGTATGAACGTCACATTACACCCATTGTAAGGAGTGTAACTTCATATTTCACGTCACTTAGGAATTGTGAGTGAATGATTTACAGTTGTCTCCCTGCATTTTGTCCCATTGGAGTGTGAATTTCACATTACACCCCACTTAAGGAGTGTGACTTCACATTACGCCCCATTTTGTAATATGAGAGGACTTGATGCATATTACATTTCACTTTATTAAGTTCCATTATGTGATGTGGATATATCATTATTCCTCACTTAAGGAGTGCGAATGTCACATTACATCACTTTTGGAGTGTGAATGTCACATTACGCCCCAAGTAAGGAGTGTGACTCCACATTTCGCTTCACTTAGGAATTGTGAATGAATGTGCAAAGGGTAAATAGTTGTTTCCGTATACAAGTACTCCTAACTAATTCTATTGGACCTACAAGGGTTCCTCACTTATCCATTATTTATCCATGTTATTCAACCCAAGTTATTATGCAAGGTATACACCTCCATATTTATTGAGGTTTATTATGCAAAGGCATGCTAAACGATCTAGTCTTATAAAACATATCATGTTATATTGATATATCATAACTTATATCATTACATAACTCCATAGTGCATAGTAAATATCAAGAAAGTGAAAAAGGAGAAAAATGGGTGATACAATAATTCATTTTTCATACAATCACAACAAGTGGAACAAGTCAATCATTTAAACCAAATAGGATTCATGAAATCCAAACTTTATACTATAACTACATAATTGAAGCATCACTTTACTTCACCATATGGTAGAGCATTGAACTACCTTTCTAATGCACCTAACCGCATCCCAAATGGAGTCATGAAACTCATTTTATGGTGGTTACAGGGTGTGCAATTGATTGTTGTTTTGGTGCAATTGATTGTGGAGACTAATCTACCAAAAAATTATACACAAACAGGGGTTAAATCGATTGTCCCCATGAAGAAATCAATTGTAGGGTCTGGGTTATCCAAAATTTCACAGGATCAATTGATGACTCAAGGGAGAAATTGATTGCATGTGCGTTCTGTAAAGCAAAAAATTGGAAAAATGATGGGTCTCAATCGATTGTCATAGTGGAACAATCAAATGTTTCTGGGATTTTTTTTAGAAATTCATACATAAACCCATAAGTTCATCCATATAATCGATTGACATGAATAGGCAATCAATTGTTACCATGAAGTTTCTAAAAAATTCAACTAAAACTCATATTTTCCATCATTTAAACATTTCCAACCATGTTCTAACATCTAGTATCATATTATCAGAATTCCAATAACATCAAGAAACAATACATGTAAGGTTTCTCATATATATTCACAACAAAGCATGTCATAACATCAATTCCATGAATTACATGTTCCCACACTTTCAATTTCACAAAGTTCGTCATTCATTCATGGTAGATTGCAGCCTTAACATCATAAGCATCAACACACTATATTTTATCAATAAAAAAAGCATAGATAATCAAGGAAGCATCAAATTCAACACATATAATATGAACATACTAAATCAAAACAAGAACTTGCATTCACATTTTCAAACAAGAATCCCTAACATTTTAAGGCTATGTATATCTAATGTACCCCACCTTTGAAAGATGAAAATTAAAAATCTTGATGCTTTGGGATGGAATTGATGTCGCTTAAGGCTTCCTCAATGATCTTTCTTCAAGAATATACAATCTTCCTACACATGTAACTTGATTTGGGGAGGATGATCAAGAGGTTTCTTCACATGAGGATGAGGATGAATGGTAGAAATGATGATGATGAAAATGCTTCTTAATCACTTCATAACTAGTTTCTCTTCCAAAAATTCATAATTTTTTGAGCATGCAAGACAATTAGCAATCTTGATCACGACTTCCTTCACTATTCTCTTCCATTCCCATCTTTCCCTTCTACTCTCTCTAACTCTCTTGCTTTTCTAAAAATCTGACTTTAAAAGAGAGGAAAATAGGGAAAAACGAATTTCCTTTCTCACAAATGACTCTTATAACATCTCTGGGAAAAATAAAATGTCCTTACAATTAAGTCTTATATCTCACCATACCACCTTGTGATTAGTGTCATGATACACTCACTTAAATCATACTATCTCACTAATTCACTACAAATTATGGTTAGAGAAATTGAGACATTATAGGAACCTCATTCTTTAATTTAGGATACTAGTCTCTCCAGGGATATGGATTTGTAATGGTGTTGTCATGCGAAGGACGATGTTTACCTTATTGCTTATGTACATGGCCGATCTTGTACAGGAGCAACAAACTCTACTACACATAGTCTCAAATTTTGAAAGACCTTATTTGTTTTATTAATATTAATTGACATAAAAATATGTTATAATTAATATCCAATAAATTAAAATATGTTATGATAAAAATCCAATACATAAAATAATAAAAATAATTAAAAGTAAAAATAATTCTAATTAATTTTTTTATTAATATATAATTATATTTTTAATGTGTTATTTTTAATTATTACAATTGTATTTTTTATTTAATCTATTTTTTAAATTAGAACAAGACCTTCAAATTGATTGGGTTAATCCTGCTTCTATGTATTCTTCCATTCTTTTTGTCAGACTTACTGAAGGGACCTCTCGAGTTAGTATTGATTATGTTGTGCACCTTATTCGGGAGAGTTTGCTATTTTCTAAAATGAGATTTTTTTTTGTTGGAAACTTCTTCTAGACCGAATCCCTACCAGATATAACCCGTTTAAGAGTTGTGGTATTCTAGACCCGCAAGACATCTCCTCTACTGTATGCCTAAGTGTTCTTAAAATGTCTTCACGTCTTAGAAGTTGAATCTTGGCAAGTCATCTAGGTACTCTTATTCCTATTAAGAATGGATGTAGGAACCTCGTCCTCTTTTAAGAGACACTTGTAATTTTAGATTTGATTGCTCATTCTGTGATACAATCATTGGCAATGATCTAGTTAAGCTTGTTTCTGGTTCTCTTTTGAGTCATTTAGAAGCTTTCACCCCATTTTTGGTGCCTACATCGGGTTCTTGTTTTCTTAGTGGGTGATTTTGTTGTTGTCCCTTTTTGTTAACGTTTTTAGCGTGCTTTTCTGTTGTTTTGTTTTGAGATGTTTTATGCTCAGTTTTGCATCCAAGTACCCATAGTGATTTGTACTTTTCATTTCAATTTTTCTTTTATCCAGTCTTTAATAAAATTCTAAGTTTTCAATATATATTTGTATATTTTTTCATCAATATTAAATAACTTGTAAATATGATTTTTATAATATTATATATTTTTATTTAAAAAGTGTACAATTCTTTTTTTTAAAGTTTCAAATAAAAATTTAATTTAAATCATTTTTATTTTAGGTATTATATGTTTTTTCTATTTTTTTAATCAAAAGTTCAAAAATTATTTAATTTTAAAACTTTTTTGAATAACTTTATATAAAAATTAATTTTTAAATATACACTTATTTAAAAATAATATAATTTTAATTATGTTCTAATCTTTAATAATAATTATTTATGTTACCCGCCGTCAAAATTAACATTTAAATTTATTAAAAAAAAATCTAAAATAACTTGTACCATTTAACAAAAGTCATACAAATTATTTTTTCTTAAATTTATAAAAAAATCAAAATTTTAAATCTATAACAAACACGCCCTTAATTTGTTTAATAAATCAATTTATTTATTTTTTAGTAACACAATTAATTTTACTCAAGAGTATTTAAATAAAATGACTAATCTTTAGGCTTAGCTAAATATTTATTTGTTTGAATTAAATAATAAAAAATATTAATGTTAAATTTTTTACATGGACTTATTTGTTTTAGCTTTAAAAAAATTATTTTTTTCTTTGTATTTTTAAAAATGAATTTAATAAAATCATTTTTTAAAATATTACAAATTATTTAATATTCATTTTTTTTATATTGAAAAATTAAATTTGACATACTATAATATAAACATATATTAATGTAGATTAAAATATTGTTCAAATCACAATTTGAAATAAAAATATTATATTTTAAAAATAATTTTTATGAAGAATTAATTGAAATAACTTCAATATTAAGTAATTTTTTGAAAATTTAATATTTAAATTTTTTTTTGAAAAATAATATAATACTTAAAATATTATTTTAAAAATAACTATTCAAATTAAATTTTTATTTAATTTTTTTTTTTACATAAAAATACAGTACATTAAAAAATCATTTAAAAAAAAATAAAACAAACTGATACAATATATTATTATTCTTTCGTATTCATACTACATCATACAAATATTTTTTTAGACTTACCAAGGGACAATGAATGACAAAAAATAAGAACAAATACTCCACTAACATGGACGAGATGACAAGATCTCTTTGAACTTAATTAGAACTCTCGTGTTAGAATGCAACATTAGAACTAGAAGAATATTACATCTTTTGAAAGAAAAAACTTCCACCGGTTATAATCCTTTATTTGAACTAACAAAATCGACACATAGCATAACAAATAATTAAAAAACTTAACTTACCTCATAGCAACAAAACAACCCTTTTAATCTCTAAAGCTTAAGTGCTAAATCCAATGCATAGACATCTGAGTTATCATCATCTTCATCATTATTAACCAAATCAATGAAATCAATCTTCTTAATAGGTTTCTCAAGTTGCATGATATATGCTTTAGTACCATCATTTGAAGATTCTTCTCCTAGATGCTTCAATTGGTAAACATGTGGTGGAAATTGCATTTGCATAGAACCAACATTGAAGAATTGGTTTTTTCTTGGCTGGGGAAACATCATAGATTGTGGTTGCAAAGTTTTACCATCATTGATGTTTTGAGTTTCCATTAATGGAACATGAAAACCAAGTGGAAAACAATGAGAAGAAAATTGCCTTTGAGGAATGATATCTTTTTTCGAATAGAGTCTTCTAATTGATGCTTCTTGATTCTCCATGTGAGACTCGATGTGAGTTACGAGTGCTTGAGTGCTGATAAATACTCGGTTGCATAATCTACATGCAACCGAGTTCAAGAGATCACTCCTAGTGACCATGGTGGTGGATTTTGATGAAACTAATAAGTCAGCATTTTGGAACTTTCACATGTGAGCATTTTATAGATGACAAATGTATATTTTGCATTTATTTTAAACGTGAGTATATATGGCATGTAACATATATATGGTTATTTTTCCAGCTAGTTAAAGTATTTCGAAAAACATTTATAGTTATTCCGAAAATGAAAAAGGCTTGACTCATTTAATCATGCTATATAGTAATTAAAATCAAAATAATATATAAATGGAAAGTGGAATAAGCAAAGCATTTATCATATTAAAGTATCACAAGCTTTTTGTGTGGAGAAGTATGGAAAGTTCATCAAACATTATATTGTAAACTTCTCAAAATATATACTTTTAAGTTTGGAAACAAACCTCTCTCACACAAATTGTCTATCTATAATTATAACAATAATATGACTTTCTTGTTTTGCTAAAGTTGCATGTTATTCCACCTTTTCCAAACTTGCCCGTGGGTCCGTCCTCACAAGTAATATATATAGTAATCAATAATTGGCACAAAACCAATAATTTTATGCCAATGATAAGTATGAAAAAAAATTGAAAATAAACAATGTATTTGTGTGGATTCTTTCCTTTAGCCTTTCAGAATTCTCATTACTTAGAAATAAAGTGAATACTTCTGTTACTTAGAAATATTAATTTGTTATGGTACGAGTTGAATTTGTGATATTTCACTAATTCATCTTGAACCAGTGAAATTCTAGTCATTAGATTAATAGTGTAGTGTTACATTTGCGAAAGTCCTAAACTAGGATGTCCTCACCCGAGAATCGTATCCCTCAGGCGATGGCCACCCAAGTGTACCAATGTTGCATAAGGACGCTAGTTAAGAGAGAAAGAGTCTCCACTAACTTCTGAAAGATAGGAGGTCAATAACCTTTTTTTATTATAAGGGAGGTCAATATGAAAACGAAACGAATCCTAAGTATAAAAATCATATTAAACATTCTAAAACAAAATAAACTTAATCATGAATCACGCCTAATAAAAATTCATCGGCATATGAAGAACACACAAAAATGAGGTACTTTGACACTCATACACAATCTTGCAAATAAAAGACTAAATTATGCATTCATCAAAAAATTCACATTAAACATACAAAGGCAAGAATCACAAGGGTTTTTCAAGGTTGTAATGTGGCTTGGTTAACAAACAAGGGATAAGTCCTAAAGCTAGTTGTTGTACCCCAATTTTTACCCCTAAGATTCCTCTATCATTTCATATCATCACTGTTGTACCCCAAAATTTGCCCTTCTCTTTTTCACAAGAAATCACAGCTTCAGGTTTTCCCTGATTTTTTCAAATTGGTTCAAGAATTGGTCAAACAGACTTTTCTTATCAGTCAGACAAAATTAGGGTTTCCATTAACTTTTCTCATCAGTCAGACAAAATTAGGGTTTCCGTTGATTTTGAATCAGTTCAAGCAGATTGTTAGGGTTTGGTTGAGTTTGGCTCAAGGTTTGATCAGGCGGACGTTTCTTTGACAATAAATCAAGAATTAGGGTTTGCACGCACATTTTTTGAATCCACAGTGTCTTAATTGGCTGTTACACTGCTTTGACGCCTGCTCAAGATTTCAGTTTTGTTTCTCAAAAAAACCTGAACCTCTGGGTTAGAAGCTGAGGCTTCTGGTTGAAAATTTGCAGTGTTTGGTTTAATCAGTAAAGGGAAAGGCATATGGACGTTTGTTTGATTAACTGTGCATTGCTTATGTTTAATTGGGACGCCGGGTTTATTATTGATTAATGCGAAGTTGCAAGACTACAATGTTTATTAATTATTTATTTTATCTAAGTTAGAATAATTGGGATTTACTTCCAGTTATTTTAATTCAAGAAAACTTAAATAATTAAATAGACAGTGAAATAAAAGAGATATCTGACAAAAAGACTTTTATTTATTTTTAATTATTGGTACAAGTGTTATTTAAATACAAGTAATTTTTACAAGTATTTATAATAATATTTATTACAATGATTAAAAGTAAAATAAAATTACATCCTAAAGTTTCCTAAGTCTTCATCTTCTACTGATGCTCCCCATTGCCCAACTGATATTTACCTGCAAAAAGAGAAGAAAGAAGTCAGTACAGATGAATTTGGAAAAGACATTCTCAGACAGTTAATCATAAAAGCTCATCATTAAAAGTGTTGGCCGAAATCAGTTTATTCGCCCTCTCTGCAAATCACAAGAAGGCTCTTGGTTCACAAAGAGGGAAAGAAAATTATCTTGCAAGCATTGGAATTAATTAAAATACAAAATTGCACAGTTCAAAATTCCAAACCAAGTCACAGGTAACAAACTGAATATGCCAAAACAAGTTGCAAAGTTTCAAATTGGACAAACAAGCTACTTGAAAAGGCAAACCACTTTGTCAAAAGTACAAAGCTGTAAAACTGTCAAAAAGAGATATCAACCAAGCTGCCAAAAGATATCAAAAGATATCAAGCTGTCATCAAAGAAAAGAAGAAAGTACAATATGCAGAGGAAAGACACAATGCAAGCAACATATTCAAATCTTATCATCATTTTCCAGCCACCCTTTTTCAGAAAAAGGACAGATAAGCAATAAAAAATGCTTTTCTGATAGAGAGAGAAAGAGAGTAAAAGAAGTATAGGCTTACAGTTTGTTGAGGCAAGCTGAAGAGATATAAAACAAACATTATCTTAACACTGTAAAAAAAGAGGCAGAACCACATAGAAAAAAAAGAACACAGCTTGTAACCTCAAAACTGTTTTTCAAGGAAGCAATCCTGCAAGCTAAACACAAGTTCTCAAACCTGCATAAGTTACAAACTGCAACCAAATCTTGCCTCCTGCCTGTAACCACAATAAGCCTCAAAGCTTCCTTTAAACCAAACCTGTCAAAACCAGTACATCAAACCAGAAAAACTCAGTAAATTGCAAGCCCTGAAATAAGCCTCAAAACTGTACCATACAACCTGCATAATACATCAAGCCTTAAGCCTGCGCTAAAATAACACAAAGCTTGCTTCAAGCCAAAGCCAAACCTGTTTCAAACACAAACCAAAGCTTGCCTCAATCTAAGCAAACAAACAGCTTGCCTCAAGCCTTAACCTGCCTGTTTCAAAACAGCCTTTCAAAGCCTGTAAGCAAACAAACAGTTTGCCTCAAGCCTTAACCTGCATAAATCTCAAACAAAATTCTAAACTTCAAGCTTGTAACCAAGCCAATAAGCCTGTAATCCACAAACAGAAAAGCCTAAACAATAAGCTTGAAACCTGTTACAACCTAACAAACCTGTGTTCAAAGCAAGCTAGATTCCAACCCATCCAAAACTCAGCATCAAACATCATGAAGCAACAACATCAAAGTCATTCTCAGAAATAATCATCATTGAAATAAGATATCCAAACAATACCAACTGAAGCAAAAGAGAGGAAGAACATATCAACAACAACTGAAGCAAAAGCATCCTCAGAGCCAAGCTCATCACAGGATCAAACAAATCAAAGCCAGAAAGCATCTCAGAATAAAAGAACAAATATTCCACGGGCAAGAAAGCAGAAGAGGAAAAGAAGTCTCAGAAATGGACAATCTAGGGTTTTCAGAGAAGCAATACTCATCATAAAACTATCTAACAAAAGCAAGATATAAAGTACCAGGAAGGCCACAAAGCTAGCACAACATCACATACTCCCTCGCCTTGGCCGCCTGAGGACGCCTCCTGTCCACTCCACTCCTCCGTATCCAAAACTCTAAAGGTAGTAATTCCTTCTCTCTTTTACACACCTCACATAAGCATGTAATGAATAAAGATCAAGACATACAAAAATAAATCATAACATGTAAAACTTGAAAACCTAAAAACGCATAAAACAGAAATCAAACCTTTTCGTGTCGCCGCCTTGCTTGACCATGGAGGGAGGAGGAGTTGGAGGTGGCGCCTAGCGGCCATGAGCGGAGGTTTATTCAGAAAACTTGGCTCAAGAAAGATGAAGAAGACAACGAAGATGAGAGCGTCGTTCGTACAACACGAACCCTAGTCTGAGCCAAAGCGAAGCAAACCCTAACAAATTCATTGTAACATGCGTTTTGGGCATGTCCCCAACAAAAACCCTTAACCCCAATGATTCTGGCACCTTACCCCTCCTGGCGCGTTACACCCCCCCCTTTTGTCTCAATCTGCATTGGGCTTGCCATGTACATAATGCCTAGGCCCATTTAACTCTTTCTTATTTTTCTTTTCTTATGATTATAAATCATTTTTTTTAAATCAACACCTTTCTTTTAATTTTTATAACCTAATTGATCTCTCATTTTTTTTATTAATGATACTTTTTATTATTACACTTAAAAGTGCATAAATCTTAGATTTATTAAGTTTAAACATTTTTTTATTAAAACCTTTTTTTGTTTAATTTAAATCTTGTATATAAAAACATTAACTAAGATATATAAACAATAGTTTTTTTTTCTTTAAACTTAAAACATTTTTCTTTTCTTTTCACTAAAACATTTGTTTATACATAATTAACAAAAACCCAAAAATAAATAAAATACTTAATAATTGCATTAAGTTAATATTTGCATCATTTGTAAATAATCACATACACTTTCACAAATACTTTTATTTCTCTTTGATTCTTATACTTTGCTATATTTTACATTGAGAATGCGATTCGATTTGGTTGTAAATAACATTTGGACACTACTATCCTGATAAGTCTCATCCCTATTTGTAAACATTTGTACCCCCATCCCCGGATACTTATTTGTAATAGCTTAGACTTTAAATTCCCGCAATTTATCGCTTTTCATATACTGTATAGTAATTAGGGTTTGTATGCGAAGATTCAAAATCAACCGCTAGATGACATAACACAAGATAAATGCATGACAATTAATACACAATTTACACTTGCACCCATAGGGTAATCCCGCTTGTTGCCTTCAAGAATGGGCCATGTTTGCATGTCAAGTACTTTGGCAAAACAAAAACAAAT